AGATCTTGGTATCATTATGGACAGTTCTCTGAAAACATCCACTCAATGTACAGCAGCAGTCAAAAAAGCAAACAATGATAGGAATCATTTAAAAAGAGATATACAATAAGACAGTATATTTCATTGCCTCTGTATAAATCTAGGTATTCCCCCATATCTTGAATAAAGGTGTGTTTCACCTCATCTCAAAAAATATATTTTAGCATTGGAAAAAGTTCAGAAAAGGGCATAAAAATGCTTAGGGGTTTGGAATGCCTACCATAGGAAGACAGATTAAAATGACGGACTTTTCAGCTTATAAAAAAAGGAGACTATGGGGCGACATGATAGATGTCTATAAAATTATGACTGGTGAGTAGAAAGAGAATAAGGAAAAGGTATTTACTTGTTCCTATAACATAAGAACAAGGGGTCACCAAACGAAATTAGCAGATAACAGGTTTAAAAACAAACAAAAAAGGAAGTACAAAATGAAGTCAATCTGGAACTCCTTGCCAGAGAATGCTGCGAAGCAAGGACTTCAATAGAGTTAAAAAAAGTGCTAGATAAATTCATGGAGGCTAAGTCCACCAAACGCTATTAGCTGGGATGGGTAGAAATGGCGTCCCTAGCCTCTATTTGTCAGAGGCTATGAATAGGTGACAAAGTGGAATCACTTGGGGTATGTCTAGACTACATGGCTCCGTCGATGGACCCATGTAAACTAGTTTACCTGGCATAGTCAATGAAGCGAGGATTTAAATAATCCCTGCTTCATTAAAATAAAAATGGCTGCTGCACTGTGCCAACAATCAGCTGATCCGTGGAAGGAAGAGATTATTTGTGGGAAAGTGGACAAATGGACATTCCAAGTCTAGCACTACTGACAAAGCAGATAAGACGCACAGATAAAAGGTAAAAGACGACACACAAAGATGGGCAGATATGCAGTGATTTGTAGGTCACAAAAATGAGGAATTGGGGAATATAAAGATAAAATGTAAAGCTGAATTGATTATTTTTCAGGGAATATGACTTGCATTTTGTACAAAATGCAGAAAAAGTATGTCAGATTAAAGTGGCAGGAACCAAAACAGGAGTCACTGAGGATCTGCTAAGTTTCTGCTGTCTGGATAAAGAGGAAGGGTCAGATCTTAGTGATGTGAGGGGAAAAAAACAATAGAATTTAGACTGACTGGATGTGTGGGGCAAGATATAGGAAGAATTCAAATACAACCTACAGTTGAGCAGCCTGAATGAAACAGAGGTTGATAAAATAGACAGCTCTTGTGGACAATGCTATATTTAGTTCTTAGACCCACTACAAACCCCTCATCTATATGTAAATTTGAACAGACAGATCGGGATTCCAATGGTGCAAGCCAGCTGTACCATCCCTCGCTTAGCCATAAGTATAGTGGGACAAGTAGAGGCAGACCAGCACGCACTCCCTAGCTGGTAATTGGCCTTCAGAGGGACCAGACTGCTCTACACTATCCTGAGGTGGCAGAAAGGGGCAACTTGGTATCTAGATATCCCCCTAATCAAAGAATTGTCACATCTCCTTTGTTGTGCTCAGTAGACACTGGGTGAAGCAAAGGATATTGAGTTCACTAAGTTTAAGTTGGCAGTAAGTCATCAAGGACCAAAAAAGGAAGAAGTACCCTGACAAGCATCAAAGAAATAAAAAAGGTAGGAAAACAAGGCAAAGACAATATCATGAAAGGCAATGGAGTTCAAAAAGCATGCGTAACTATCAGCAGAACTGAGGAGGTCAAGTAGAATGAGAATGATGTAAAGAGGCCTTGAGATGTGGCCAGAAAGAGATGAAATTCCTTGGTAAAAGCAGTTTCAGCGTACTTGGGAAGGGGAATGAGTGGGATGATGTATTTAATCATGCTATTCTCTGTGGCTTCAATTTTACCTTGCAAATCCTTTTAATATTAGTGTATTCTCTTATTGAAAAGGGAATCACAGACATTTTACACTGATCCAGGGAACAAAATGAAATGCAATTACACTTGCATCCCGGTAACATTCTTTACCAACTGTGCCATTGGAGGAGCCCCCCTAACTCTGTGTTCTGGGACCCCCTTATCTGTCCTGTGTTGCAAGGGTGCCAGGGCAGGGCTCAAGCCCTTGACCTGTGGCTCCCAAGATGGGTACCTTATCCACTGCCCCACTGGAGGAGCCCCCCCCCACCTCCCTTATCTGTGCCCCCCTTATCTGTCCTACATCCCAAGGGTGCCCAGTTTTCAGAAACTAAGAATATAAATCTAAACAGGCATTTATAAATTTTACTGTTGACTGGCTAACAGCACTCCAGCAGCTCTGCACCAGCCCTTGGTTAACCAGTTAAACAATTAATATTATATCATTTAAACAGTTAACATTTTAATGAGTATTTACATCCCTAATTTAGTCATCTTTTTTCAAGCTGAAGAGTCCTAGTCTTATTAATTGCTCCTCATACGGAAGCCATTCCACATCCTTAATGACTTCTGTTGCCCTTTTCTGAACCTTTTTCCAATTTCAATATATCTTTTTGGTGATGGGGCAACCATATCTGCATGCTGTACTCAAGAGGTACTCATGGATTTGTATATAAGTAGTATATATTTTATCCCTTTATTAACAATACTAACACTACTAGCATTTTTGGCTGCCATAATTTTATATCAAAATTAAATAAGTATGGGATCATCAGCATTTTTGTTGCATGGAACTTTACTTCTTGGCAGTTATCTTCCTTGTAAACAGTAACCATAATTTAAAAGCTTTCCTTATTGGTTTCAATGGGAAAAGCACTGCATTTCAAATACTTTATTGGATCAATTTAGCTATATTCTTTTGCGAACTCTATTTTAATTAAGCTTATTTTAATTTACTTTACATGCAGAAGAGATTTGAGAGCTTTACATTAAGGCAGATAATGGGGTCTCCCCCCAACCATTTTCCTCCCCAAGAACCGGTGTTCCTATGAACGTTTCCCCATAACCTAGACACTCACTTTCTCTGCTTCTAGAGTGAGAAATGAAAAGTGGTATTTCTGAGACTTGCAGGGAAATGTCTCAATTCACACCACCATTAAAAATAAGTTCACTAGAAAGAGAAAAGCAGAACTATCAACTTCTGTTAGTATAGATGTACAGGTTGGACCACACTGATCCAGACGCTAAGGACCTGACTGGTCCCGAATGAGGGGATTTGCTGGACCAAGGAAGGTCCCTCCCTTTGTGGCTGTGTTGGGGCTCCAGCTTGCTTCTGGTGCTGCCTCAGACCCCCGGGGCTCTCCCCGGTCCCACTACTGCCATGGCCGAAGCACCATAACCAGAGCTATACAGCCACCAGGCTCCACAGCTAGGGCAGAGCTTCCCAGCTGCCTAGCTCCACAGCTGGGGCCAGAGCTCTAAAGCCAGGGTGGAGGATTGGGGCCAGAGCATTGTGGCTTAGGCTAGAGCTCCCTAGCTATGCTAGGGCTGGAATTCCCTGGCTGCTGGAGCCAGAACGCAACCAGAGCTCCCCGCCATGACGTCCATCTCCTCCCCCCCCGCACACATTCTGAGCTCCTGGCTGAGTTGCTGGTACCCCTTATGGCACTCCTGCTCTGTCACCAGATCTCCCTCTTCCTGGGCTCTGTGGCCAGGAACATCCATGGTCCATGCCGGACCACGGATGTTGCTAGATCAGGGAATCCCGGTTAAGAAGGTACAAACTGTAGTCTCCATCTCCTCTAAACTTGTTTCCATCACTCCTCCCAGCTTCAAAATTTTGAATTTTCCCACAGAGTATGGACTTAAAATATAGCTCTGACTGTCAAGGCAGACCTTCAATACCCAGAAAAAAAAATTAAAAAACAACAAATAGTCTAGCAGCACCTTACAAACCATGTAGATGGTATTATGAGCTTTCCTGAGCACAACTCACTTCTTCAGATGACTGGAGAAGTGGGTTGTGCCCAGGAAAGCTGACAATACCATCTACATGGTTTGTTAAGTCGCTAAGGTACTGTTACGCTATATGTTTTTTAAAGTTTTTCCAGTTACAGACTAACTCAGCTACCCAGCTCTCTGAAGCTTTTGAATACTGAGAAAGAAAAATAAAAGAGAGCTATGGCAAGCGAAGGAAGCATTTCATAGTAACACCAGTTCTAAAGGGGATGATGTATAACACCAGATTGTATCTACCTATAAAAAACAAACAAAAATAAGTTAATGAAAAGTCATTTAGCCACAACAGCAAATTAAAAACACAATTAAGTGCATGTAAAATAATTAGAAATGAAGTGTTTTCTTCACAAAAAGCAATAGGGAATAGTCCCTCCAAAACTGCTCAGTGGCAATCTCAAACAAGTACATTTTAATATTTTCCTAAGTACATTCAATAAAAACATTTTATAGTACATTGTCGACTTCTCTAAGTTTCAGTAGTTTGTAAGGGGAATAATCCCGCATTATAAACCCAAATCTTGAATTTATTTTAGAAAAGCAAGTATCTGTACATAGTCGTTAGAGTTTTAATCACCCTCTGGAATCTGAAAGGAAGATACTACTGAGCATGGCATCCAGAAAGCGACACCAATTGCACTTCCTATTGTCCAGGGTGAGTGGAAAGAAAGCGTGCTGGCCACCTTTGGTGGGGAAAACGGATTTAAAAAACCGCTCAATGTCACTAGTGTAAAGCGCCGGCACCAAGGCCGAGCTCGTGCCAGGCGTTTCCCGGCTACGCTTGTTAGCCAGGGAAGTTTGCGGTTTCGTCCCGGCTCTGTGGGGGCCGCAGCCGGAGCGGGCCCACTTTCCGATTGTGCCACCGCACCACAGCGAGACCCCGCCGCCGCCTAAAGCGTCTCCCGGGCTTCCTCGCCTACCACAGCCTCCCCCCCGCTCCCACACAACGGCCGGCCCCCCAGCCATGGAGCAGGCCCAGCGGAACCGCGCACCCAAAGCCTACGCGGTACCCCCTTTCGCCGCCTCCACCCGGGCCGCGACGCCTAGGCCACCGGCCTCCGAACTCCCGCTCACCTGGTCGCCAGCGGCTCCCTCTCCGGACATGGCGGGTTAAAAAAGGCCAAGCAGCGGCCCCCTGGAACCAATAAAAATACCTTAAAAAGCGCCCAGCGCTGCGGTGGCTCCGCGAATCCCGCCGGCTGCCTCCCGACTCCAACCACCCACGGTCCAAGGAACAAAATGGCCGCCGGACCGCCCCGCTCAGCTTTGACGGAAGGGGCAAGCGGAAGAAGAGCGACGCAGCGCGCGGACTGCTGGGAGCAGCGTGGGCGAGCTGGGAGGAGACGCTCCGAGAAGGAGGTCGAGGGTGCGCGTGCCCCGTTAGCGCTGTGATCTCAGCGCGCCGCAGCTAGCGCGTGAACCTGTGGGCGGGCTTGTTCTATGGAGGGAGGTGCTGCCGAGCGGAGCAGCTCGCACTTTCCCGCCTTAGCCGTGGTGCGCCAGGGCGTTGTCATGGCAGCCAGCGGCTCCCAGCGCTAGCTGCTGCGGCCAGCCGCTTCTCTCGGAGCTCAGTGTTAGACTCCAAAGCGCGGCTCGGGGGACCTGGGCCCAGCCTACAAAAAGTGGCTGAGAAGTCCCTAAGCAGCGGGAGAGGAGCGACTGTCTCCTTGGACCCTGCCCCCTTGCTGGACTAGACATTTAGCAGTACTGGCAGGGGCTTGTGACAGAGCAGT